CCCCAAAACCCCAAAACCCCAAAACCCCAAAACCCCATTGGGAGGAATTAATTATTTAATGTGTTTATATGGGAAGGATTTTGGTACTCCTGAGACCCTCCAAATGTTTCATGGTATTCAGACTTCTTACTTGAGGAAGAGCAAATCAACCTTTCACTAGTAATAGTCTCTATTCTTGCAATAGGGAGTATTCAGTTAGCTATAGAGAAGATTATTATGTCAATTACTTTTTACTAAAGGACCAATTAGATCGGTTTCTTTTGCGTTTTTGTTATTTCCCACATCTATTCTGATAAAGGCCATTCTTACTTGGATTATTAAACTTGTTTACTCTATCCCAGTTATTTTTCTCAAGCAGAAAAGTTTCCATATCTCTGTCAGAATTCTCTTTAAGTGTTCTATTCTTATTAGCAAATTCACACTACATATTTTTACAAAAGTGCGATTTATTTGGACTTGAAATACTGACATCTTCCTTTTCTTCTTCTTTAATCGATTCTCACTAAAATTATGTAAAATCTTTACAAAGTCTAAATCAAACTCATTGCTTTTAAAATTGAGTTTCTTCTTAGACGATCCCATTGATCCGCTCTTTTTCCATTTGGTTGTATTATGATTAATCTCTGCCATATTCTTAAGCAAATATTTCAGATTTCTTGAGCTATCAATTGAGCCTGTATCTCCAAGTAAGATTTGGTCAGTTGATAAATCTCTATTAGAACTACTCTTCATGCTCCAGTAGGGAGTTACAATATTGCATCCCTCCCTGATATATGCCTGCATGATTCCAGAAGTTGGAGTACTTGTCATAGATTTCTCTTCTTCGGAACTTTCTACAAATTATTGAAGCCATACCTCCTTCATAACTAGAGGATTCATCCTGAAGACTTTTGGGGTTCTGTTTAGTCTGAGGGAAGATATTAGACCCACATGGCACTAGAGGTCGGGCATATTGGTCAACGATGATATCAAAGCTAGCATTTCGATCATTTTCATTCGTAGTTTCTGGAATTATTATGAATTCTTACTCTCGATAACAACTGTGTTTTGAATATTGGCTTGATCGGTTTTAATCCTAAAATTTCAAAACTTGTTTACATAAAATTTCCTTCGGGGTTTTCAACTTCCGTAAAGTGAACTAGAACTTCCTTCAATCCTGTAATTTTGTACAATCTTCTTGACACTTTGCTAGTAAGAAGTTAGCAATGAAGACTCAGTTGATAGGGAAATGCAGAAATAGAAGGCTTACCTTACAAGGGCAATCTCTTTTAGTGATAGAAAGGAGAACAGAACCTGTATTATTCTTTTCCTGTACTTTAGTCTACCCCCTAGATTAAATAAAATCTTGTTTTATTATAAATTCTTTAAGTGAAAATTACCATTTTCAAGCAAGATGTTGTAGAACTTAGGTCTTTCAAGAACCATTCTTCCTCTACCCCAAAATTTCTTGATTCTCCGAGGTTTATTAGACCCTCACATTCATCCCATATTTTTATTATCAATTAATTTTAACCCCTTTGGGGTTTTGGGGTTTTGGGGTTTTGGGGTTTTGGGGTTTTGGGGTTTTGGGGTTTTGGGG